ATATATATATATATTTCTCCAGCCAAAGATCTATTTCTGTAGTTTACTGCTTCCAGCAAGCAGAAATATTCTCCTCCCGATGATGGCCATGTTGGTCGAAACTAGTCGATGAATCTAAATAAAATAATAATAAAAAAAACGAAAGAATATTAATCTACAACCCAGTGTGTCTAAAGATTTTAATTTTTGAACTTTTTAATATTTTTTTATTGTTCAATATATATATATATATATATATATATATATATATATTTATATATATCAGTTTTTAATCCTATTTTATATCTAAATCATTCATTAATATCTATTTATTCAATATATTTTGCACCTACGAATACATATATCGCTATCTCTATCTCTCTTCCCCTCCTCTCTCTCTCTCTCTCTCTCTCTCTCTCTTCTCTCATCAATGTTGTATTTTCTGGGCAGATTTTAAATATAAAATCAGGGTGTTTCTTAATGACGAGTGTTTTCCTGTATAAAATTATTTCTGTTGTGCATTGCTTGTTTTTATATGGTTTTTAAATTGTTCCTTCTGTTTTGTATTTACGATATTTTTTTTTAGCTTTTTTCTTTTTCTTTGTCTTTTTTTTTATTAGTAAGTCCGTATCTCTTGCTTTCTTTACGTACTTTCTATTATATTACCTGGTCTTATATTTTGACCTCCTACATATCATTAATCACATACGATACGATGAAAATAATGATAGCCGCGAGGACATTTTAGCGATACAAAGGAAGCAATGAGAATGTTTTATCTTTACCAGAAACCAAGAGAACATTGAGAGCAAAGACTAAAAATGTGATATTATGAAGTATTTTCTATTTGGAATTTGTTCTCGTAAATTCTTCAGAGAACAAATTGCAAACAGAAAGGAATTCATAATATTAAAAAATATATTCCTGGCGCTCTGAGTGGAATTCTTTACTGAATACTATGACGTGAAAACAGTTAAGCTGCAAACATTTTTTTCACTTAATTCTAAAGTATGAGTAAGTCATTTTATTTTTTTTTTTTTACTTTGAATTGCTTTCCTGTGCCCGTTGTCAGAATACCTTAATCCATCACAGCGCAATATATATATATATATATATATATATATATATATATATATATGTGTGTGTGTGTGTGTGTGTGTGTGTGTGCGCGTGTGTGTGTGTATTTAGGCAGCAAACCTTCTCTCATGCACATTTCATTGAATACAACAGACAAGGTAGTTTGATTTAGTTTTTTTATACAGTTTCTCATGTGATCTAATATTTTTTTTTCTTTTCAGATGATAAATTATATAAAAACTGCCCGAATGTTCTTTTTCTCCGGACGCTTTCGGCTATACATTTAGCCATTTTCAATTACGAATTATTTTAACAGTTAAATAAGAAAGTGTTGAATGTATGTATTTATATAATGTTCTCATTTAAAAAAAAAAAAAACACGGTCAAGATATTGTGTTCATGTTCATAGATGATATTATTGAGTTTTTTTTTTGTTTTTATTAATAAGACTTCCATTATTTTTACCTTTTTTGCATGTAGATGATGCTATTATATTTGTGCTGTCAACATGTTACGAATAAGGTCCTGTAGATCTCCATGAATATTTAAATGAGATCTAATTAAGCTATGGTCAGAAAGGTGTAGAGTGAGTCTGCACGTCAAACATCTTGTAGCGTGGCCTATATAATTATTGTTTTGATTTATCATGAAAACAATTCCTTAAAAGGCATTTGAATTCGTAAATAATATTTGACATATTTAATTTGTCCTAGGAGGTGAATTATTATTTCTAACTATAAGGTTAGAGGTTGTATTTTTTTTTTTTGTAATAATTGATTAATCTTTTTTTTTTTTTTTTTTTTTGCTATTGTCAACTGGTGTTGTGCATTTTTTATAATATTCTTAAATCTTATTCCTATTCGTTAACCTTAGAATTTATAAATATATTATTATTATTATATTATTTTCGTTCTCACTACATTCGGGCATATATATATATATATATATATATATATAGGCAGGATGATAGAAAAGTAAGAGTGATCATTGTAGTACTGGTATGTTTAATAAAAAAAAGATTGCTGCTACTACTTGATAGCGATTTGGAAATAGAACTTTGACAAAAAAGCTTGGCTGCTCTTAAAACCGAAGATACTTCAGAATGTATTGGATATAAGTCTGAAATGTAGTCTTTAGCAACGACAGTTCCTCAACTGTTGCTCATTTTAAATGCTGAGCAAATTTAACGGACAAAACTAGTGCAACACACACACACACACACACACACACACACACACACACACACACACACATATATATATATATATATATATATATATATATACAAGTATAGGATTGGTGTATACGGAATAAATTCCAATAACCAACAATTACTATTCTTAAAAGAGTGCTCAGTACAGAGTAGAGCAGATATAATTATTCATTTAAAAATTATAACATAAATATGTTATAAAATCACTACAAAATTAGCCATTTTGTTTCAACACCTCTGGTGTCTTATCAAGTGATGATATTGAATGTAGAATAAATGGTTTTAAAAGTTTCAAATTAAATAACGATCCTTCGCAAGGGGAAACACTGTTACATAAGCTAAAATGACCAATCAAAAAAACAAGTATAAGAGAATTCAAAAACATGACAAAGAAGTAAGGTTATAATAGCCATTAAAAGCTTTGGGGTTATACTAAAATAGAATTTATTTTAACCAATAAGCATTAATTTATAAGATAAAATTTGATATTAAAATTAAAAGTAAAAAATTACCAATTTTAAAATCTAAATTTAATCCCTATTAAGTTTAAAATTATAAAATTACTGAGGAGAGAAGAAAAATACATATGTTATTCAATTTATTTCTTCATTGAATGTCGACTGGTCTTCCCGACGAAATGTATACATTTTAATTCCAAGTGTGTGAGTGGGGTGCTAACCTCCCGCTGAAAACAATACAAACACACTCAGAGTGTAATACATAAGCACCCAAAAATATTTAGATATATACACACACAAAAAAGTGACGAGACAAACAATACAAACACACTCAGATTATAATACATAAGCACCCAGATATATTTAGATATATATACACACAAAAAGTGACGAGACAGGAAACATCTCCACGGCCCTTTATAAAAAACAAAAAAACGAACACATACATACATGCACAATTAAATGTGCATCCATTTTCTATACAAATAGACACCGATAAATACATGTACACACATCCACATACATTGACCTAGACTATCTGATACTACAACCAAGAAATATTTAAGACTGAAAGTGTTATTAAACAAATGCTAACCACTTATTAAAATATAACATATACGGGCAAATATAGATATTTGATCATTTTTATCTATCTATATTAAATTCTAGTTTAAAATCTGTTAAATCGACTGTGCTAACCGAACGCTCCTTTGTGGCGAAATCGGTAAAAGCAGGTCAGGCTATATGACTATTCCGTATAGGATACAGGTTCAATTCCTGTCGGAGGACGCATATTTTCTATGACAATTTCTCGGACATTCAGGCCGTTAAATGTTGTTTAATGCTGTTTATTATAAACAGAGCATTTACTTAAATATTTCTATCTATAAAAAAGAATGTATAAGCATAAAAATGTCTTAAAATAATTGTCGGATTTCATTATATATATATATATATATATATATATTGCAATGAATCATTCATAGAAAAAGTAGATTAGCAAAGTTAATAATATAAAATGGCGAAATCCCTTCGCTAACAAGATCTTAAAGGTGCATTAACCTATAATTCACTCTATGAATGTTATGATCGTTGTTTTTAAAAATTATAAGCTGCATAAGGTCTTTCTTAAATACGCATGTACTTTCGACTGTGTCTTCAGGCATTTATTTTGTTTTGGTAAAATAGAATAATTATAATTTTTAAAAACATGATTCATTTTTTAATATAAATTTTGATATATAGACCATATATATATTTATATATATATATATATATATATATATATATATATATGGATTATTTCGTATAGAAGAAAAACCTTAAATTTTCCTTTCTGTCGTGCGACGAGGGCCTAGGGATAAAATATCTGAGTGATGTCAAATCAGTCGAGTTTCGATCCCGGCTTGAAGCAATCGGAAGTCTAGCAACAGTGAGGAGTTGTGATATATCAAAACAGTCTGTTTGTGGATGACTATATATATATATATATATATATATTTAGTCATCCACATATATAATATTAGTTTGGGAATGAAACTTGATATATTTTTCGTTCTTCTTACCGCTCTGTCTTTGTTTAATTTCTCTTTTCGTGTTCCTTCATATTATGGGAATTACGTTTTTGATAATGAAGGTTCTTCTTACATTTTTCAATTGTGCTTCGGGTGAAGGAAACGCAAGTCTATTTATTAGTAGTAAAATTTTTAGCTTTTTATTATACATCGGGTACTGTTTTATTAACACCACCACTCAATGTGCGATACGTTAAACAAACACACACACACACACACACAGACATACATATATATATATATATATATATATATATATATATATATATATATATATATATATATATATATATGAAGTTTGACGCGCTTTTTCTGTCATTTTTTTTTTTTCATTCTATAATTTTTGCGTGCAATCTATTTGCTGTATCACATGACTTTTTTTTTACATCCGTTAATATTTTTATATTTTGCGTGATTGATAATAGCGTTTCCAATTTCTCTACACAAAAACACATTTCTGTTTTGTTCTTTTTGTTTAGTTTTTTTTCTAATAATATTATGCTTTTCTAATACGCCATAAATCCAACTCAAAGGACATTGTTTTATGTTTTGCGTTTCATGACCTTAACATACTCAGGTTTCGGACATCAATGCTTTTCTTTCTTATAAAAAAATAATCGAATGAATAAAGTAAGATGAACAAACTGACGCCATGTCGTCTTGACACAATCCTCACACCAGTCATAAATGAATCCAGACGAACGGAGATAGATAGATAGATAGATAGATAGATAGATATGAAGAGGCATATGCAGATGTACATACGAACAGTATAAGATAGATAGATACATCGATAGATAGACAGCTATGAAGAGGCTTATGTAGATACGAACAAAATGAGATAGAAATATAGATAGATAGATAGATAGATAGATAGATAGATAGATAGAAAGAAAAATTTATGAAGAACTATAAGTAGATTGATACTGTCTATCTGAAGTTATGAATATCACTTAATCCTCAATAGCTCGAATTTGCTTTGAAAAATGTTTGTAAAATTTGAAACGATTAATATAGACGTCAGGACACAGTCTGAGTTAATTTTTTGGCAGTTTCAACATTTGGGGTTTTGAATTCAGAGATTTTCTAAGCCGTTTGCCAAACAAGGCTATAGGACCTAATCTGACCGGCTAGCTGGAAGTTATCAAGCCAGTGTTCTCTAAAAAAGTGGTTGTTTAAGTTAAAGCTATAGAATCCAGCCTGTCCTGCTATTTAACTATAGCTGCACGATTCAAATTCACAGTTTTACTTATTCTAGACCGGTTGCCACACAAAGTAATAAAAGACAATCTCTATTTACTCATAACTAGAGGTTTTCAGTTCTGACTTAATTTCCTTCTTGTCCGGTTGCCACCCAATAAAATAAGACCCAATCTCCTCAGAAGTAGACGTTTCAATGCAGATTGCTCCTTCTCCTAGAGCGGTTGCCCCCCAAGGCAATAGGACACTCGCTGGTCTGCTATTTACTCATAACTCGACATTTTGCATTCAGGGTCGTCCATCTTCTTGTTCGGTTGCAATCCAGTGCAATACGACCCAGTCTGTCCTGCTATTTACCCACAGCTGGAGGTTTTCAATTCAGAGGTGTCCTTCTCCTAGACCGATTGCCACCCAAGGAAATACAACCCAGTCTGTCCTGCTATTTACCCACAGCTGGAGGTTTTCAATTCAGACCTGTCCTTCTCCTAGACCGATTGCCACCCAAGGAAATACAACCCAGTCTGTCCTGCTATTTACCCACAGCTGGAGGTTTTCAATTCAGAGGTGTCCTTCTCCTAGACCGATTGCCACCCAAGGAAATACAACCCAGTCTGTCCTGCTATTTACCCACAGCTGGAGGTTTTCAATTCAGACCTGTCCTTCTCCTAGACCGATTGCCACCCAAGGAAATACAACCCAGTCTGTCCTGCTATTTACCCACAGCTGAGGTTTTCAATTCAGAGGTGTCCTTCTCCTAGACCGATTGCCACCCAAGGAAATACAACCCAGTCTGTCCTGCTATTTACCCACAGCTGGAGGTTTTCAATTCAGACCTGTCCTTCTCCTAGACCGATTGCCACCCAAGGAAATACAACCCAGTCTGTCCTGCTATTTACCCACAGCTGGAGGTTTTCAATTCAGACCTGTCCTTCTCCTAGACCGATTGCCACCCAAGGAAATACAACCCAGTCTGTCCTGCTATTTACCCACAGCTGGAGGTTTTCAATTCAGAGGTGTCCTTCTCCTAGACCGATTGCCACCCAAGGAAATACAACCCAGTCTGTTCTGCTATTTACCCACAGCTGGAGGTTTTCAATTCAGAGGTGTCCTTCTAGACCGATTGCCACCCATGGAAATACAACCCAGTCTGTCCTGCTATTTACCCACAGCTGGAGGTTTTCAATTCAGACCTGTCCTTCTCCTAGACCGATTGCCACCCAAGGAAATACAACCCAGTCTGTCCTGCTATTTACCCACAGCTGGAGGTTTTCAATTCAGACCTGTCCTTCTCCTAGACCGATTGCCACCCAAGGAAATACAACCCAGTCTGTCCTGCTATTTACCCACAGCTGGAGGTTTTCAATTCAGACCTGTCCTTCTCCTAGACCGATTGCCACCCAAGGAAATACAACCCAGTCTGTCCTGCTATTTACCCACAGCTGGAGGTTTTCAATTCAGACCTGTCCTTCTCCTAGACCGATTGCCACCCAAGGAAATACAACCCAGTCTGTCCTGCTATTTACCCACAGCTGGAGGTTTTCAATTCAGACCTGTTCTCTAGACCGATTGCCACCCAAGGAAATACAACCCAGTCTGTCCTGCTATTTTTTACCCACAGCTGGAGGTTTTCAATTCAGACCTGTCCTTCTCCTAGACCGATTGCCACCCAAGGAAATACAACCCAGTCTGTCCTGCTATTTACCCACAGCTGGAGGTTTTCAATTCAGACCTGTCCTTCTCCTAGACCGATTGCCACCCAAAGGAAATACAACCCAGTCTGTCCTGCTATTTACCCACAGCTGGAGGTTTTCAATTCAGACCTGTCCTTCTCCTAGACCGATTGCCACCCAAGGAAATACAACCCAGTCTGTCCTGCTATTTACCCACAGCTGGAGGTTTTCAATTCAGAGGGTGTCCTTCTCCCTAGACCGATTGCCACCCAAGGAAATACAACCCAGTCTGTCCTGCTATTTACCCACAGCTGGAGGTTTTCAATTCAGACCTGTCCTTCTCCTAGACCGATTGCCACCCAAGGAAATACAACCCAGTCTGTCCTGCTATTTACCCACAGCTGGAGGTTTTCAATTCAGACCTGTCCTTCTCCTAGACCGATTGCCACCCAAGGAAATACAACCCAGTCTGTCCTGCTATTTACCCACAGCTGAGGTTTTCAATTCAGAGGTGTCCTTCTCCTAGACCGATTGCCACATATAAGGAAATACAACCCAGTCTGTCCTGCTATTTACCCACAGCTGGAGGTTTTCAATTCAGACCTGTCCTTCTCCTAGACCGATTGCCACCCAAGGAAATACAACCCAGTCTGTCCTTTACCCACAGCTGAGGTTTTCAATTCAGACCTGTCCTTCTCCTAGACCGATTTTTTCAGGAAAGCAACCCAGCTATTTACCCACAGCTGGAGGTTTTCAATTCAGACCTGTCCTTCTCCTAGACCGATTGCCACCCAAGGAAATACAACCCAGTCTGTCCTGCTATTTACCCACAGCTGGAGGTTTTCAATTCAGACCTGTCCTTCTCCTAGACCGATTGCCACCCAAGGAAATACAACCCAGTCTGTCCTGCTATTTACCCACAGCTGGAGGTTTTCAATTCAGACGTGTCCTTCTCCTAGACCGATTGCCACCCAAGGAAATACAACCCAGTCTGTCCTGCTATTTACCCACAGCTGGAGGTTTTCAATTCAGACGTGTCCTTTCAGACCGATTGTCAGGAAATACAACCCAGTCTGTCCTGCTATTTACCCACAGCTGAGGTTTTCAATTCAAAAGGAAATATTCTCCAACCACCCAAGGAAATACAACCCAGTCTGTCCTGCTATTTACCCACAGCTGGAGGTTTTCAATTCAGACCTGTCCTTCTCCTAGATTGCCACCCAAGGAAATACAACCCAGTCTGTCCTGCTATTTACCCACAGCTGGAGGTTTTCAATTCAGACCTGTCCTTCTCCTAGACCGATTGCCACCCAAGGAAATACAACCCAGTCTGTCCTGCTATTTACCCACAGCTGAGGTTTTCAATTCAGACCTGTCCTTCTCCTAGACCGATTGCCACCCAAGGAAATACAACCCAGTCTGTCCTGCTATTTACCCACAGCTGGAGGTTTTCAATTCAGAGGTGTCCTTCTCCAGACCGATTGCCACCCAAGGAAATACAACCCAGTCTGTCCTGCTATTTACCCACAGCTGGAGGTTTTCAATTCAGACCTGTCCTTCTCCTAGACCGATTGCCACCCAAGGAAATACAACCCAGTCTGTCCTGCTATTTACCCACAGCTGGAGGTTTTCAATTCAGACCTGTCCTTCTCCTAGACCGATTGAGGCCACCCAAGGAAATACAACCCAGTCTGTCCTGCTATTTACCCACAGCTGGAGGTTTTCAATTCAGACCTGTCCTTCTCCTAGACCGATTGCCACCCAAGGAAATACAACCCAGTCTGTCCTGCTATTTACCCACAGCTGGAGGTTTTCAATTCAGACCTGTCCTTCTCCTAGACCGATTGCCACCCAAGGAAATACAACCCAGTCTGTCCTGCTATTTACCCACAGCTGGAGGTTTTCAATTCAGACCTGTCCTTCTCCTAGACCGATTGCCACCCAAGGAAATACAACCCAGTCTGTCCTGCTTATTTACCCACAGCTGGAGGTTTTCAATTCAGACCTGTCCTTCTCCTAGACCGATTCAATTCAGACCTGTTTCTTCTGATAGACTGCCACCCAAGGAAATACAACCCACTATTTACCCACAGCTGGAGGTCTGTCCTTCTCCTAGACCGATTGCCACCCAAGGAAATACTGGAGTCTGTCCAATTCAGCTGGAGGTTTCAACGTGTCCTTCTCCTAGACCGATTGATTGCAACCCAGTCTGTCCTGAAATACAACCCAGTCTGTCCTGACTGATTGCCATTTACCCACAGCTGGAGGTTTTCAATTCAGAGGTGTCCTTCTCCTAGACCGATTGCCACCCAAGGAAATACAACCCAGTCTGTCCTGCTATTTACCCACAGCTGGAGGTTTTCAATTCAGACCTGTCCTTCTCCTAGACCGATTGCCACCCAAGGAAATACAACCCAGTCTGTCCTGCTATTTACCCACAGCTGGAGGTTTTCAATTCAGACCTGTCCTTCTCCTAGACCGATTGCCAACCCAAGGAAATACAACCCAGTCTGTCCTGCTATTTACCCACAGCTGGAGGTTTTCAATTCAGACCTGTCCTTCTCCTAGACCGATTGCCACCCAAGGAAATACAACCCAGTCTGTCCTGCTATTTACCCACAGCTGGAGGTTTTCAATTCAGACCTGTCCTTCTCCTAGACCGATTGCCACCCAAGGAAATACAACCCAGTCTGTCCTGCTATTTACCCACAGCTGGAGGTTTTCAATTCAGACCTGTCCTTCTCCTAGACCGATTGCCACCCAAGGAAATACAACCCAGTCTGTCCTGCTATTTACCCACAGCTGGAGGTTTTCAATTCAGACCTGTCCTTCTCCTAGACCGATTGCCACCCAAGGAAATACAACCCAGTCTGTCCTGCTATTTACCCACAGCTGGAGGTTTTCAATTCAGACCTGTCCTTCTCCTAGACCGATTGCCACCCAAGGAAATACAACCCAGTCTGTCCTGCTATTTACCCACAGCTGGAGGTTTTCAATTCAGACCTGTCCTTCTCCTAGACCGATTGCCACCCAGGAAATACAACCCAGTCTGTCTTGCTATTTACCCACAGCTGGAGGTTTTCAATTCAGACCTGTCCTTCTCCTAGACCGATTGCCACCCAAGGAAATACAACCCAGTCTGTCCTGCTATTTACCCACAGCTGGAGGTTTTCAATTCAGGCCTGTCCTTCTCCTAGACCGATTGCCACCCAAGGAAATACAAGCCAGTCTGTCCTGCTATTTACCCACAGCTGGAGGTTTCAATTCAGACCTGTCCTTCTCCTAGACCGATTGCCACCCCAAATACAACCCAGTCTGTCCTGCTATTTACCCACAGCTGGAGGTTTTCAATTCAGGCCTGTCCTTCTCCTAGACCGATTGCCACCCAAAGAAATACAACCCAGTCTGTCCTGCTATTTACCCACAGCTGGAGGTTTTCAATTCAGAGGTGTCCTTCTCCTAGACCGATTGCCACCGATTGCCACCCAAGGAAATACAACCCAGTCTGTTCTGCTATTTACCCACAGCTGGAGGTTTTCAATTCAGAGGTGTCCTTCTAGACCGATTGCCACCCAAGGAAATACAACCCAGTCTGTCCTGCTATTTACCCACAGCTGGAGGTTTTCAATTCAGACCTGTCCTTCTCCTAGACCGATTGCCACCCAAGGAAATACAACCCAGTCTGTCCTGCTATTTACCCACAGCTGGAGGTTTTCAATTCAGACCTGTCCTTCTCCTAGACCGATTGCCACCCAAGGAAATACAACCCAGTCTGTCCTAATGATTTTTACCCACAGCTGGAGGTTTTCAATTCAGAGGTGTCCTTCTCCCAGACCGATTGCCACCCAAGGAAATACAACCCAGTCTGTCCTGCTATTTACCCACAGCTGGAGGTTTTCAATTCAGAGGTGTCCTTCTCCTAGACCGATTGCCACCCAAGGAAATACAACCCAGTCTGATCGGCTATTTACTCATAATTGGACGTTTCATTCAGAGTTTTCCTTCCTGCTAGACTAGATGACGCCCAAGGGAAAAGAACCCTGCCTGTACTGCTATTTACCCATGGCTCGAGATTTTCAATTCAGACCTGTCCTTAAACTAAACCAATGCAATAGGTCTCAGTCTTGAAGTTCAGAATACAGAGTTGTCCTTCTAGACCGGTTGCCACCTCTCCTGCTATTTCACCTATAGCTGGGGGAGAAGAGATGTAGTATTACCTTTCCCAAGGTAAGTGTTTGTAATAAACTTGCCCCTACCTCAGTTCGAGCCACCATCCATTACTCCACAGTGTTGCCCTTATATTGTAATTCACTTGCACATTTTCGTAAACTCTACATACCGCAACAATGGTACGGGATTCCATCTGGATAATGGTCTGCGTCATCTGGCGAGAGCATTGCATTAAATTTAAACTACAGTGAGAAAACACAAGCGATCCCATTATGGAATTAAGTAATGTGACCATAGAGGAACTGCATAGGGAGGAAGTATCGGGATGACTAATTTCTACTCTATCTTCTAGTACTATACGGACCGCTATTCTCTACAATATTCACTATACTATTTCGGATTACTATACAGATTACTATTAGATAAAGTATTATCGAGCAAGTACTATTAGTGCGAATCTTATTAGAATGCGTCTGACACCAGTATTATTCAACGGATTAATATAGTTGAATCTGCAATTACAAAGTCTTTACTACAACAAACATTACGAAAGTGACAACGAGTATTCGTTGGCATCACAAAGTGTCAAAAGAGTGTTCTTTGACATCACAAAAGATGAACATTTTACAAACTTGCGAAAAATAGTATTGTTCAGCAGATATGGTTCCATTTGATTTCTCGCTTAAACTCTCTTACTATTTTACATAAATGATCCGACTAAGGGTGTATTCAATTTTTTTGAATATACATAATGGTGATACAACAATATAAGGATGCAGCTCGATGACCTGAGCCTGGCAGCAAATCTCTTCTCTAACCTTGCCCTAACAGCTCATTGGGGTGGGAAAGCTAGTTGTTCGCAGTCAATTGCTCCAAGAACAAAATAATAAACGTTCTATTGACACCGAACGAACCCTGAATTTTCGCATATCGCCATGAACAGAAGTTCTCTCAAGGAGGACCGTGCCTTGAGTGCCTGTTAGGCTCTTACGTTCAATACAGACCTCAACATGCATACAATACAACATGAATATGATGGAAAAATGTTTGGTTCTCTGTACCACACCAGTAAGTACCTGACGCCTGCTATCGTCTACATTTTCAAGAGCCAACTCAAGCTGAAAATGGAGTACTATTGTCATATATCAGCAAGAGCTGCTCATTTTTCGCTTTCTAGTCTCAATAAAGACCAAATGTTTGTGTCTTTTTGGGTGATGAATTTTTTTTAAACAACAGCTTACCCTAACACGAAACGTTAAAAAACTTCTCACTACTCTATAGAAATTTTCATGGAAAGAGTTCAAACGAATTTTATTCCTAAGTTCAAACAGTTTTAACCTTCACGGCTAAAACCCTCCATAACGTGCACATCATAGGAAAAACGCTAATTTCCTTCGTAATCTATTAGTAATATGTAAGTTCTACTGGAGCAGTTTCTTCACAGGAACCGCTGATTTGTGGAGCCGCCTCCCAAAAGATTCAATCCTGAAGTGTTCATATCTAGAGTTAACCTGTATTTTCCCCATTGTCTATAAGCTGCACCTCTATCTTTGTAGGCCTCTGCTTTGAGTGGCTCTTGGTCCTGGTACAGGGTGAAAAATATTATAAAAAAAGACAAACGGAAAACATGGTTTCGTTTGTTGGTTTAAAGGAATATCAACATCTTTATGGGTCATTTAATGCCGAAATTTTAATTTATTGTGAACTTTTCTTTTCCAAAAATATATTGCTGGTAATTTTTCTTAAATATATTGTTATATTTTCATGTTTTGACCCCAGTTTGGAGTTTCAATATTTTTCCATAGCTGTGATCCTAACAGGTGCTAAGACCATGGTTCAGAGTGGACCAACAGCGATTAAAAGCTGGTTCCACGCTCCCGATCAGAGTACTTACTACCTGATGTAATTATGGTCATGCCCAGGACGAATGGAAAATGCTGAATTTCGTAGGGACAGAATGGTCATAAAATTTATGTTTACTTTTGGCACGTCAGTATAAATACACATGTAAATGTATTCTTCTTAGTTTTCTTAGCTAATTTTATGTGTTTTTTTTTACGTTTTGATTTGTGTCTTGCATCTCTTATTGTACAATGTTAAATTTGTTCAGAAAAAAACTGGCTGGTTACAAAGATCTGTCTTTAATCTTATCACGACTTAAAGCATCGAAAATTTACCTTATTGCATGGAACAACGTGAGTTTCAACACAGCGCTTAGTTTTATTTTGTTCTTACGATTTCACTACTGATTTCCTGATATAAAGGCATGATATCGGTCTTTGTATCTTGCAATGTAATTCAGAAGAAAGAAAACTTTTGTCAGCTTTTGTCAAAAAATCAATTATCGCATTACTTGAAAGATACATCTGCAAAACCGTGAAAACACATTTTGAAAAGAACAAATAAATTAAGAAAAAATTAAATAGTTACAAGCGTTATTTTTCCAGAAATTACTGATGTCCACTCTAGAATTTTAGATAGATAGATAGATAAATAGATAGATAGATAAATAGATAGATAGATATGAAAGGAGTGATATATAGATATAAAGAGAAAAGAAACACTTATCATTGGTGACTTGTTTCGTCTTCTGAGTATTGCCTTGTTTTTATACACCCTCGGAGATAGATAGATAGATAGATAGATAGATAGATAGATAGATAGATAGTGAGTGGCTACACGTTTCTGAGTACATCCGTCTTCGAGGGCGGATACTCAACCTCTACCTGTCCAAGTACATTCGTGTTTGTTCAACATTCACAGCCCCGGCCGTGGCTTATACTGCAACCTTAGTGAGAGGACTTTTCATATTGCTTCCGGAGGAGAGTGCACTAACAGTTAGAACAACGCCAGCACGCTCAAAACTTGTGACTTCATGCTTCCGAACAGTCCAGTCGAACCAATTTCACGCACAAGACCTGGGTCAACGCATTGTTTTCAGAATCTTTCCTCCCCACGGCTATAGCATCAAGAAAATCGACCATGGTAAGATTCGAATCCGGTCTCAAAATTGGAAAGCAACCTTCTACACATTATTTACATTATTTGGCCTAGAGTCGTCACATTTGTTGCCATATTTAATACAACGTTTCGGCCGTTGTACGCTCCGGCCTTCTTCAAGTGGTTGGAATATCGAACTGGACCGTTTATTTCGCTCACTGGGGTAGACAGTTCTAGTTCCAGGTGCCATGTCTAATGGATGTCAGTTATCCGTTATCTCCTGGTTATTCCCCTCTCCAAGTTCTTCACTGCCTTAATCAGGTATTGAATTCAGAAATCTTTGGGTCCTGTCACTAAACTAAAGCCTTTATCCCCTGTGCCATATGTCCTTAAGGACGAAATGTAGTGATAAATATGGAAACAAAGATGAGGACAACAGTCCAAATAATGTAAATAATGTACATAATATCTCATCTCAGAAATATCGATAGGAACTTTTATTCATCCATTGATATATACATATGCAGCTTTTGAGTTACATCCCGCAAGTTTTCCCTGTTGTTTTGCAGCGATCGTAAAGGTAATACTCGTTGGATACAATATAGCGGACGGGAATAGAACAGGCCAACCGTGTTCCAATTCTTTCTCCTAGGTTGTTCTTTATATATACTACTCTGCGTTTTCAGAGATGAGAACAACTTTTTTGCAATTTTCAAGCGGGATAAAAAATTGATTACATACGACAAAGTTCAATGCAAAAGTGAGGGGTCGATAGTAGAGATTTATCCATGTCATTACAAGGATATATCTCTACTATTAACCAGCAGATGTTGTTGATTTATTGATTGATTTCTGTTTAGGCGACTTATCCACTTTTTACGGGGTATACAGCGTGGATATATTTAGGATTGTAATAATAAGTCCTTACATTTTGCGAGAAAATATCGTATTATATTTTTTTGTATAAAAAGTTGTTTTTTTTCTGATACAAGTCAGATACAAGTCCTACTATCTTACTTATAGCTGAGTGTAGGATGCTGATTTATACCTATTCCCAGGGTATTTGTGTGAAAGTGGATGAAACAAACTCGACTGGAATTCGAACTTGGCTCTCCAATTTCTTATCCTGTGATGTTATCTGTTAGACCTACATTCACGCAAACCCTTAGTTACTCTCACTGGAAGAAAATGCACAATTTTTCATGATCAATAGTTGAACAAGTCCATTACGCTCAAAAGCCTCTCTCATGATGAATTGTGAATCCATTGTAGCACAAACGAAGGCTTCCGAACAGTTCATTCTCCTCAATTTCGGTCAACCCGTGATATGGTTTTCTGGTATTTTCTAACAGAGTCGCACACTGGGTTTGTTTCACCAGGTGAACATTATCAATAATTCATCAGCTTAGGTCATATAACCAGAATATTAAAGTTCTTATGACTCCACTGCTAGGACGGCGTTATTCGTCCTACATTGTCGATGGTGAAATATCACACAAAAGCGATAGATAACGAAGAATTCCTATATATCAATGGGATCTGCTCAAACTGTTTTCATAGGAAGTTATGGTGGAGTCGCTTCTTATAGGTCCTCTAGAATAACGGTTTCCTAAATATTTTTAGCCTCAACACAAGTCGTTACATAAGGAATACTTAATAAAGATCGAAATAATTTCTATTAGTCTGTAAAACGTAATTGTTAGCTCTTAGACAGCGGCGAGGTGCAGTCGGGATCGGAGTGAGAATTAAGATTCTGGTGAGTTCAGAATACTTTTTGCTTTTGGGAGTTCACGATAAAAACAACTCGAAACAATAAGTAAATAATGATGACAATTCAGAATAAAGGTTACCAATGCTTTATCTAAAAAGAACTAAACGGAAAATAAAACTTGAAATGAATAGAATTTAAGCTAAAATCTGAATTATCAATCGCAGTTATTCCTTCTGTAGCCACTGGAGTGAGAATTTGTCGATAACATCGCCTGGGTAATGTCCTTGGACTGAACTTCACTTTTTGTTTCACTGTTTTTTCTTAAATAATTCCCAACGACAATAGACCCGAGATGATTATTCATAAACGCATGAAATATGCTTATTAAGTTCTTTTCAAATGTACCACTTGTCGGATAACGTTAAAACCATACACTTCCTTATTCAAATATATTTATTTCTTTTTTATATTAAACATTATCTAACATAAGGCCCAAGACCTATTCAAGTTAGAAGGTTAATAAATGACATATATGATATGAACGTCGGAGGAAGAATTAAAAAGTGAAGAATAAAAGTATATTGGATGTGGTTGGACAATGACCTAGATTTGAACAAATTAAAATTGTCGCGTTCTGGAAAAACTCCACATGTGATTCCGTTCACAGAGTAGGATCATTTACCCAGTTTATTCAAGATGATCTTCGCCCTCTCTAACATTCTTTCCTGGATTAACAAGGTGCCTCAAATTTTTAGCGTACGATTTCATTATCAAGTCTTTTTCGTACAGCTCTTTGGACTGTCATAGGTGAAACTCCTCTCTCACGTGCAAAACGTTTTATGAATTGAGTTAGATCTTTTCTAATTGATATCTTTAGTTCTAAATTGGAATGACGATCCCTCTTCCTGTTGTGATTTCCTGAACCATTTTTCCTCTATATTGTTTCCTCTTTTCAAACTTATTCACCGTTCTCTTGATGGTCCTCGAATTGACTTTGGAGATGGAAGCCAGAGTATGAATGTTGGTGCCATTACTGAAGGCCTGAATGATCTTTTTCCTCTCACCATTGCTCAGTTGGGAAGATAGTGGCTCTGGCATAATTTTTTTTAACCTTCTCTCTTTTTAGCTGAATATCTGAATACTCTATAAATTTTTCGGACTTATAAACCTAATGCCTCAATAATCATTGTTTTACCTGAGCTCATATTACAATTTGTTGTTATTATTGTTTTTTTTTTCTCTCGCACACCGTATTATAGGTTCCCATATAGTATTCATGTCCTTTCTTGTCCGGCTTAGGAGATTATGCGCTGATTCCTTAAAGTTGGAGATTTTGGGGAGCGTGAACCAACTCTTAATTACTGTTGTTTCCACGTTCACTCTAAACTGGGGTGGTAGCACCTGTTAGGGTCCTAGCTATAGTCAAATAGTGAACTTCCAAACAAAAACAGAACACTACAAATGTATAAAATATCCAACAATACATTTTTATAGTAAATTTACCAACAATACCTAATTATAGTTTATGTTTAGATATAAACTACCAAATTGTATTCAAAATCTTTACATTTCGGCATTAAATAAACCATAGAGGTTGATATGTCGCTAAACAAAATCGACTTTTTTCGTGGTACCTTGCATCTTCCAGTGTAACAGTTTATAATAAATATCTATTGATCTACTCTTGTATTGACCCCTTTTTTAAATTAATGTTATTAACGTTTGAATTTATATTCTTTTCCTTCTTTTACATTTGGATATATATATATATATATATATATATATATATATATATATATATATATGTATGTATGTATGTAAAATCCATCATATATTTATTTATTAGTTATTTTCTGTTTTTTTCTTTTTCTTATTCTCTTTCTGTATTTCTTATTTCCTTTCTTTCCTGCCCTCTATTTATGTAAGTTCACGCTCGATGTTAATTCGATGAAATTCAACTGTTTGCAAATATGAAGTGCTTATTAAATTGATGATCTGAAAATTAGCCAGCATCATTTTTAGGAAAAGGAACACAGATGCTTTCGGCTTCCGAGGAAAATAAGAAAATAGTTATCATTAATGCCACTCGTATTTGGCGCGCATTTTCAGTGTTAAAACGTATAGCAACTGATAGCTTATCATTTAGATAATTTATCAGGATAGCTTATTATGATAGCATAAAATTATTGCTTATGATAGCTTATGAAGACAAGTTGAGAACAAATATCCAGTGACATTACTCCATGACTCTCTTCCGTATTCTAGCAGATTTTAACGATTGCAATCCTTTATATTTTATAAATCCTCTGGGGTTGTAATTAAAGCTCTGATAAAATCGAAGATTGTTGTTATCGAATTTCCCATGTTTCTCAGTTTTCTACCATATGCAGACTTAACCTTCCTTCTTTTATAAAACCGATTGTGTAATCCGTCCCCACATAATTATAGTTGGCCATTCAAGGATACCCGTCTAGGAGGGCGGCTAGCCAATCCTTATTGCAGAGTCTCGCTCAGGCACATTTGTGTTTGTTCAATACCCACCGAGCCAACCTGTGGTTTATACTGCAACTATGCTGAGCAGATAGTAGTTGCATTTTGTGGAAGAGATGGTGTTATCTAAAATGATCATCAATCTGAACAACACCAGCACACAATGACTTGTGACTTCGTGCTAGCACAGCTATCGACGGCCCCAAGTGTTCCGTCTACCCAATTTTATTCACAAACCTTGGGTTTGCCTATGGTATGGTTTTCAGGAATTTTCCAAAAGTGACGCACTCTGGGATCGTCACCCGACCACCCCCAGACTGATATCATCAGGAAGTCTCCTCCCTAAGAAATCGGCACGGGGTCCATGGTCAGAAAGCGAATATTCTAACCACAAGGCCACGCGCCCATAACATACCCCCCCACCTGTATATAGACCTGTTCTCATCCTCTTACATGCTCGTATTGATCAGGAGTATATTTATAATTAGTATTTAGTGTTGACAGATGAATTAAACGGATGGAAAGAATAATGCGTAGGTTTTATATGAAAGAATATTTTATTTTAATTCATTCGGTATTCCTCGTCAACACTTTTTAGGCTTTGTGCCGAATTTCTATGTAATACATCAATGCTGATCTTAAGCCTTTGAACCCTGACCAGCGATTTACCGGTGGTAATGTAAAATGACGTAATGCACAGCCATAGGTTGAACAGTTGTAGAAAAAAATGATTGAGCGGTGGGTAAACACGTCTAACTATTTTTATATCTCCTGTGAAACATTACATACCAATTATTTGTGGATTTTGACTCAGTGGCTCAGGCAGAAGGGTTAAAATTGTTAAAAATCGCAGGGCGCACAGGGTTAATGGTAATATTAGCATTCATTGATCGAGCAGCGAGGATGACCTTTTTTTATTAGCAGAGTTAATTATCATAACGTTGTACAGCAAAAAGTTAATATGGCGTTTCCCTTACCTGACGGACTTTTCAATGTTTTTCCGTCAATTATATCGAAAAGGATCATTTCTTTTTATCCGTATCTCGCCTGATACGTTTTATTTTATACCTGTTAATAGATTAAAACTGTTGGAAAATCCTCTAGAAAACGATTGATTTCTTCTATTTATTCCCTTTGCCTGGGTATCGTCCTCAACTCCGAAAGGTATCCTTGAGGTGCCTATATGGTGTGTGTAGGGTGTTTTAACCCGGTGGATACCTCTCACTACAGCCGATGTCCCCCATCTAGGTGTATCGCATTGGTCGTTGTAGTCCCTCTGAGACTGAATTCCGCCCTGGCTGGGGACCTGTCGAGCAGATCGTTTGCCCACTCGTGCAGTGTTAACACCATCCCATTCACATTTTTTTTTGTTTAGTCTTCCAGCTGAAACCAGGGCATGGCAACTTGGTGCCAACACGTGAGAGATTTACGAGATAGTTGAGGACCAGTGATGCCCGTGCACATGAAGGTGAAAAGTGCCAGATATCAAAACACTACCTCTATCCAGACACCCGTATGTCCAGACATATACATATTTTAGCTGGTTGTCTGAGTGAACACTTAGTCATCAAATGAACCACCTTAAAAAATATTATTATATAAATTATAAATGATAATAGAATCAATAAATAAGGGAGAAACGAATCAAATATGAAATTATCATCAAATGTATGTGATATGTCCCGGAAAGGGATATATTTGTTCAAAGTAGCAAAGTGGTTCTTGACTACTGTAACCGGGTAGGACAATCTAACAGGTAACCATAATGGACTCATCCTCGTCGTAATCGAAGGCAATAGGCGTAGGCAATAGGCGAAGACAATAGGCGTCGTCCATATACCTCCACATCAGTCTGTATTTATGGCTGACACAAGCCAAACATATTACTGTGAGGGGGAACCCAGGTGTATGCATATTCATTACATCAGTATGAGAACACATTTTTGTTTATTATTATTATTTTTATTGTTACAAATTGACTATCCTGAACAAAAAAAAAACATTATATTGTCTACCACATCTGAATGGGATGTTGTATATGCAGACTTTATCATAGGTTACATCTTTCTTCCCAATAGGATTTTGAAATTCTGGTCATTGGTTGGGATCTAACACTGACTTCTCGCACCATTATGTAATGGTCTCAACTCCAACGCAGCCCACTTTCGATCTTTTTAAATAATTATAAAACTTATTGAAACAGTTTTCTCAAAAATTTTAATAATAGCTGTTGAAAAATTTCTAGCGTTGTTTTCCGAAAGCAATTTGATTCAAGGCAAAGAAGCTAAACTAATGGTTGCTGCGCATTAATATAACTTTTCGTTAATATCAGAAAATTGCTTTAGGCAAATTACAAAATCGAAAGAAAAAAACAGGTAGTTCTGCCCAAACATAATATTAAATGTTCTCCAAATGCACGCATGTACGAGAAACTGGTGAAGATAAAGAAAAAAATCGTAAACTATTGACTGTCTGCATAAATCTACGTGAAAAATTAAATGGCCAATATACGACGAAGTTGCTGAAATACCGAGTATTGAACAAAGAAGAGGCAAGGGGTTTTGAAAAATTTGTCACTCGCTAGACATATTGAAGTAACCCCTTGCATCCTGCTAGGGGCTAAATGATTAAAAAAAAGTACTACGTCTGTTTAGGATACTCCACAAACCAAACTTATTTACTCATGCTTGCTCGGGAGGTTATGCATTGCCTTCCTTTGTCTCACTTACCTTCAATCAAATTTTCCTCATTATGCATCCCAGAAATTTCAACAGTCTCTTCCTAATGTGAAGTATAAGTGTCCTTTTTGCTGCCACATTCTCTACAACTTTTGTTTTTGCTCACATGTTTGGTCCATGGTATTCTCAGCATCATTCTGTAGAACCGCATATCTGTTGCTTCAAGTCTTGAAAGGACATGGCACATAAAAAGGAAAAAAAAGATAGTCCGGCGTTCCTGCTATACATTTAAAGAAACATGATAAAATCTAAAGAAGAATGAGTTATATTATTGGTTCTCACCTGGTTTCTCGGCAACAGTCTCTTTCCCACCGCCGTAAATTTGTTTTTCTCTACCTTTTCTATAAATATTCCTTGGTTTGGACCAGCTCTTCGCTATTTGGGCCTATTTTTAAGTTGTTTTATTCCCCTCCCCCAACAGACAATGAATTGTACATATAGGGACTAGTTAGGAATTTCATGGGGACAATGAGATATTATGGTGGATGTAGTAAGAAAGATAAGTAAGAATTCTTTGTTTTGGAATATTGTGGTATGTTTGGGTCAGGGGTTGTTGCTAGCTAAGTTAAAACCGTCCTTTTCCCCATTCCCCATTTTAGGCCTTGTGCCGAATCTTCTGTATTTGAAGTGGTAATAATTATTGCTCTTCGTTCATTAGGGTTATTTTTAAATTGTTGTTTTATTCCCTTCTCCCTACAGACAATGAATTATACATATGGGAACTAGGTGGAAACCCATAGAGACAAGAGGTATTATGGTGGATGTAGTAAGAAAAGTAAATAAGAATGCCTTGTTTTAGTGTTAGGAATATTGTGGTATATTTGGATCAGTGTCTGTGGCTAGCTGTGTTTAATATTAAGACAGAAGAAGATTGTCCTTTTCTACATTCCGCATTTTTGGCCTTGTGCCATATTTTTTTTTTTTTTTTGTATTTGAAGCGGAAATTAATATCGCCATTCGCTGTGATACCTAGATTATATGAATTTAACGGAGTATTAGATTGGCGGTCAGGTTTCATCAATTCACAGTTTAATTGGCTAGACGTTACAGTAAGTTCAATGCTAACAGTTGCTTTTCTCGCTTGTAAAACACTCTGCCAGCTTCTTGCTTAAATGCAATGCCAACCGTTATCTTCTATTTTCTTAATTCCTGTCCCTTTATTGTTCTCTCTCCTCAATAGAGTTTTTAGTTAGATTCTTTCACATTAAGTCACCCCCTCATTTTATTGACTTGCTTGGAGTGAAATTATATATATATATATATATATATATATATTGAACAAGTTTAAATTAAATTCCATCGTCGACATGTGTAATTTAATTTACTTTATTTTCCTCAAATATTTTAATAGAAGTACTTTAGAAAATTCATATGACAATAACACTAGCTGATGTTACCATTATTATGAACGATCGGCTTAGTAATATTCTCAGATCATTATTAAACATATATACAAATGATATCCCCAAATCAAGAATGTTCAGAGCCTTACCGCTGATCTCAATTCTGACCAAATTCTACCAGCTCAATAGACAAAATCTGGCTTGTAACTTGTTATCCTTCTCAAACCATGCTAGTAATATTCTGTCATTAACGATCGGACCCTGAGATTTTTCCTGTTAGAATGAATAGTTATACTTGAGGTCCCTTGATTTGATCGTCTATTTGGACTCAAGATCTCAAGTGGGATCCATCGCTAAAAATGCCGGAAAAATAGGCGTCTCCTTTTGCCAAAAGTACCTGACTCCTGCTGCCATGCCTTATCTTTCTATGCGACAGATCAAACCAAAAGAATCTAGAAATCGTCTCCAGTCCGCAGATGGTTGGTCAAACTGTTTCAACACCTTAAAGTAGTAGAGAATACCGCGGCGTTATATACTCGTAACTTTCTTGATTCCACGAAAGATGAAATTTTAAAACCTTGATCCAAATTGTTAATAATCTCCACTTCATATTTCCTATTCGTACACAGCTCGATCACACGATCTTCTTTGAATGGCGTTTGAGCCTTGTATTGTGCGAACATTATTATAATAAAAGCTCTTTACGATGTTCGAATAGTCAATTGTGGGGATTTTGGGTGTTTCACCTGTGTCTATCACTGGGCATTTTGTGCAGGTTATTTTGTATATTCCCACATGTTTTATTCTTGTTGCTATCCCGTAAATTGCTGACTGTAAATCTGATATTTTTTATAGTTCGTGTTGATTAATTCTAGATCAATGTTGTATAAGTTTTTCTGTTGGGTATTATTAAGGAATTGATGGCTAGAATTATATACCTACTTTTGAGAGGGTTATTGGTGTTGTTAATATCTATACTTCTTTCTATTTTTGTTTGCGAATTTTGCATGCTTTACGTTTAACATTATACAGAAAATAATGCTTGTATTGGAGGAGTTTCGAAGTGTTGTTAATATATTTTTCCTGACCTGGTAGGAATTGAGGTTTTCAGATATAAAAAGAAAACCAGGCGTAAACCAGAACGAATGTTGTTGTTTTGATGGAAATAGAGGCGCATAAGGTCGGTCATTTTTATGTCTGACTTCTTATTAGGTCTTTAGCAGCAGGTAGAGAAATGGTAAAACTTGGTTTGATACTTCCCGCTACCATCCATATATATAGGCACGGTGGAGTACTGGATAGCTGAGTTCGAATTCCAGCCGAATCCATTACATTCACTTAAGTGCTAATACCCTAGGGAAAGGTATGAATCCTCTTCCCCTCGCCAGCTATAGGTAAATAGCAGGACAGACTGGGTTCTATAGCCTTGAATGGTAACTGGTCTAGGTGAAGGATAGTTCTTTAATTAAAAATCTACAGGGGGTCGGTTGGAGACCTTGTGGCACATAGTGCACCATGTCACAGTGTTTGTCGCTTCAAAAAGTGTGGTTGGTTCTGCTCAAATCCTTCACCACTATAATCAAATCATATATGCATGTGTCACCTGTCGGTTCACAGGAAATGAGTTGGTTGACAATCATACGTCAAAATACGACGGAGAGTCTAGCATCAATATATATATATATATATATATATATATATATATATATAGATATATATATATATATATATATGAAGTAATACAGTCTTAAGATGTACTATATTTATGGGATAAAGTGCTCAATATCAGAGATAGAGCGTGTGTAAATATAAAAGTGAACATAGAAGTCAAGATTTAGAAGCGACAGTCTGTTTCATGCTAGACGCATTCGTCAGGCCTGAAACAGACTGTAAAGGAAATGTTGACTTCTATATATATAAAGAGAGAGAGAGAGAGAGAGAGAGA